TAGGACTAGTCACTGGCAAAACACTATGCACCACTTCAAGTCTCCAGAATGGGACTAAGAATCCATTCCCAATTTTAAATCAACATAAACTGACCCCACCAGTTGCTCCCCAACCTCCCCTTGCCATTTTAATAGTTCAATTACAGTTCACTTTGGCTTCTCTTCACTGAGAAGGGACTAATTACAATCCAATATGTTATACAAAAAATGATGTATTAAAAAGTATGCCGAAAAATTAGTTTTCAAACGTGCTTATGTAAAACAAGTTTCACGCCATCAGAGTACACCACTCATTTACTGAATATCTCACATCAAAACATAAGTCTCCCTTCAAACGGCCTAAGGGTTTTTATTTTTTTCACTTGAGAATCCTCCTAGAGATTGGTTATTTCAACATTTTTGCACCAAGTTAACTCAAAGCATATTGTGACCATTTAACAATCAGTATTTCATAAAAGTCAATGCATTTGCATTTAGCATATTCCAAAATTTTAAAATGTCAGGACCTGTAATTACAGATTATTCTACTTTTAAAGTTAATATCTTAAATCAAAAGTGAAAAAGGAAAAATTATAATTTGGTACAACATTTGAAAATATGACCATAAACTTTATATCTCAGAGCCATTGATTACCATTAATATTAATATAACATATAGCTCATATTGTCTTCTTGCCATCTATTTCAGCCTTTTACTAAGTGTCTACTTTATCCTGTCTTTGTGTCCAACTGAATCACAGTGATGTGGACAATAAATAAAACAAAACAACTTAAGTCAGAAATTTTCTCTCTAGGTAATCCATAGTAATCTGTATTTTTCTGAGGAAATAAATACAGTTAGGTATATTTGAATCATCACCAAAAAAAACTATTTTTTGCAGATAGTGTATGCCTAATGTACTTCTGAAAAAACACTCAGATACTACAAGAATAATATATATAGCTGAACTAATACACGCAAGGAAGCCAAAAGGCCTGAATGGCACAGCCTTTTCCTTTGAAAAAAACCAAACAAACCTCTTGAACCTAGTTCATTATATTTAAGATATATTCCCCTTATAGCTTTATGGTTTAGAATTACCAGCTCACAACAGTATTTTTTCAATTCCCATGAAAAATGCCATGTACAAGGGCAGAAAAGATCAGACAAAAGCTAAGTAATATTCAGACACAAACATAAACTATGTTTTCAACTGAATGCAGTGCATCAAAGCAGAGAGCTTGAGTAGTTGCTATATAGAAACACTAGTTTACATCTAGTGAAAAAAAAAAAGTTTTCCCAAATATTGAGTTTTAGGAATAGTGTGCTAAGTAAAACCAGTTGCAGGGCTTTTTGTGTGTTTTTTTTTTTTGTTGTTTTTTTTTTTTTGTTTGTTTTTAAGAATAAGTGCTGAAGCATGATACATATCAAGTAGGCAAGAGTATTTCAGACTTTAAACCTAACTCACTACTGCACTAAAAACTATAAAGTGTGGCATCTCTCTCCAAAGTTGAGCAAAAAAGGGCAACAGTAAAGGCAGTATAGAAGGAAACAGTAGAGATGCCACAAGTGAGGACCTCCACACGTGATAACTCCTGGTTTGCATAAAAACAATCTTACGCCATATAAAGCTGTCAGTTTAAATAAGTGTACTTCCAAAATGCCAGCAATGCCGTAACTCTCCTGTTACCCAGTTGCTCACGGTCCAATTCACCAAGACCATCACTGCTACATCAAGGAACACAAGCATGCCCTTCTCGCATCCCAGGCTTTGAGCTACACATGTACCACTATGATGTAATTAGGGAACCGTGTTATCATAAATCAGTTTAAATAATTTAGTATCACTACTCAAGCAGAGAAATTTTAGTAATTTCTATTTCTGAAAACATCAATGAAGTAATAAAAATAGACCACTAATATTTTACAACTATTTTGCACAGGAAAAAGGCAATAGTAAGCAAGAATATCCCTACTTTCTTCACTTTACAGGAATAGAAGCAATAGATCTTTTCCATCATCTTCCATGACTGACAAACTCTGAATTGTGATAAGCTTCCTAACGGCTTCATCATCAGTTTTATCTTAACACTCAATCAGCATAGCTAGCCTGATTTGTGTTGGAAATCCTTAGTTTTCAAATTCATCATTCTGTAAAACATTTATTAAGAATAATCAAATGTGCAATCCTTCTAAGTGCGTATTATTCTACTACATGTGAACAATTATTTTAACTGGAAAACACGTATTTGCCTCCTAATTAAACAGTTAATCATTGATAACAGACTTGTTTCTGTTCAAACCAACCATCTGGGGGAATGTATACTTTATAATGATGCTTTACACAGTGAAAGGCTTTAAACCAGCTTGCACAAATGTCTCCTTCCTTGCAATAGCAAGATATCAACCATCAGTACAGCACACCTGTCAGAAGAATTTTCCCCCTGTAGAAGTGAGGTTTAGGTAAGTTTATTCATACTGTTATGAATAAAGCATACATACAGATTCCTTTTTCAAAGTTGTCATTCCCCCACCCCCACCCCCCTGTTCAATTTTCCAGTAATCTGAGTAACAGATACACTCTGTTGATAGGCCTATTGGAATAGACTGAGTTTGCAAAGGGAGACGGAGATGCAAGGGCATGGTATCCTGGAGAACACTTTGTATGAAATTTGATGCTCTTCAAAAGACAAAACCAAAAGCAGTGATGTTATAAAATGTTCATAGTATGTACTGCAACATGCAGTTTAGCTAAACAGATTCACTATTAAGAATGAACTTTGACAGTAGAAACTATATAAGAATAAAAATGCCATTTATAATTAAGCATAAAATTATTCTCACTCAGTATTAGTAATAACATTCCCAAAATCCTTTCAAGTTATTTTTAAATTTTATTGTAATCAGATAACTGCACGTTTTACAGCATAGTCACATATTGTATTTTGCTAGTCACAAACACATCGCCTTACATCACGATCCGCATCACTTCTGCTCTATACTACAAAGCCTATGACTGAATACAAAAAAAGTTTTACAAAAGAAACTGTTTTAAAGACTACAATAACAATAAAACCGTTTCCAGATAACAGCTAAAATTTTTAAAGGCATATCACTGTATAGTTTGACTGGAATTTCTAAACAGTAAGGAATGAAGTAAGTTTTAGTATCTGCGACGCTTGTTAGGTCCTTCAAAGTTGCCCCCTGGATTTCCTCTACCAAAGCCACCAGGTCCACCACTCACGGCACCTACACCACTCATTGGCGGCTGAGGAGTTTCAGAGCCCGTTCTACTAACCAGAGGTGAACCCATCTGTGATGGACCTCCTTGAGGGAATCTCTCATTATGCTAATACAAAGTCCATTTGGAACATGCCAAATGCGAATTACAACATAAACCACAAGTGGTGTTGTCATGAAGTTCAGCAGATAGTCCAGCAGAATCAGGATCACACATAGAGGGAAGAAAGGAGCAATTCAATTAGTTATTATGGAAAAAGAGCTGGAAATTAGAGTGCTAATGTTACGCTCCAACTTGGTAAAGCAAATTAAAAACTTCAGTATCAAAACCAACTCTGGTGATGAATATAACTTCATCCTTTCAAGCATATCTGAAGCAATACATATCCTATATATAACAGATGATACAGCAAACAGTAATTTTTTACCTGAGCCCTATTCTGCCTTACGTACCAACCACAACACTTCTTCCTTAAATAAATTAGACATAGAAACACTGTCTAACTAGGAAAAAAAAGTCAGCTTTCATACTTCTAGAAGCTGCAACTTTATTTTTTTAATAGCAATATAACCTACAGACTTATATACCCACCTATCTGTGAATATTTCAGTCTGTGCTACCTGGACACAGCCTTTTGTATGGCACTTCAAGAATCTTTAGACTTCTAAAATCCAGCCCAAATAAACTGACATGACTAATAACAAAATGCGTATCTGAACTATACTTATATATGTATATACTTAGTATATATGTAAAGCTTAATCTGAAGTATCAATATAAAACAAAAATCCAGTTAATGTTCCACATTTAATTTCCTCAATTCTGTGTCCAATATTAATAAAGATATAAGTGCTTACACAGATTTGGCTATAGCAATTAGGATCTAGAACAGAAAGCATGCATCTCAGCACTAACGATTCAGCATTTATGCAAGTGTTTAAAAATCGAACCCCACAAGATTAAATTTAAAACATTAACTCAACACAACATAAGCCATTAGAAGCACAGATGTATGGTACAATCAGATCTTGGAATAATTTGTCATTCATCTGTTGAGGACAGTTATGCTTTCAGAAGAGATTCCTTCTGTAGAGATCTATATTAACTGCCCAGGCATTCAGAGTTCAGCAAGAACAATCAACACCAGCACTTTATTTATATACCCAAATCAGAGAAGAAGAATTCTGAAGGTCTACCTCCAGTAACAGTAATAGAGCTGAACAATTTGGAGGTTTGCTAACTCATATAAATATTATTTTAAAACAGCATTTTGTCTATATAGATAAAATATATGCAACTTAAAGTTGTATACATGTGCCGTGCTTAAAATTTGACACTGAGTAAGAAAAAAGTTACTTCAACAGTAGCATAAAGATCTACTACTGCTCCAAAGTACCTTATAATCTGCAGTACTGGTTAAAACTGTTAAAAATATCTTTAACTCATGCTAGCTTGTTAGCAATAGATATTAATTTCAACAAACAGTTAAATCACATACTCTGATAACTTTCACCATTTCACTTTTGGACAAAGTCATGTCATCTTTCCAACAAGGACCCTTCTCTCCAGCTACCATTAAAACTACGGTAATTAACTACCTACAATAAAGTATGGAAGAGGGGAAGCTATTTTTGAAATGTTATTTTCAAAGATAATCTATGTTTCAAAGGACTGCAGTGGAACAAAAATAAGATTGTTCCATATTTCCCCTAACAGACTTCAGAAAAGCATCCAATTTAAAAACTGGTCTGGTCTGAAAAGCATATTCTCTATTTCCCTCAGTGGAAAGGAACTCTTACAATGTTTTTGGTACACAGTCCTTAGTGGAACTTTAGAGTGTCTTTCCATCAACAGGAAAAATTTATTACAGCTATGTCTTTCTCTAGCAGCCTGCCCCTCAAAATAAAAACTTTTGAAGTCAAAACATGGGGTGGAGAGGGGGGGGAAGAGGGAACAAACGCTAACCACCAAAACAAAAAGATCATAAAAAACACCAAAACAAAACAAAACAAAAACACAAAAAACCACCCCTAACCCCCCAAAAAGCCTCCAGTCTGTCTTTCAGTTGCATGCAGAAGGAAATGCGACTAAGAAAAAAAAATTAAAACATGATCTTTGAAGTGTCAGTATATTCCCTACATTTCCATACCTGGAATGACTTTTTGTAGAAAAACAACAGTTTGAGATAGATACCATGATTTACAATACCATGTTCTTTTCCTTACATCTCTCTCTCTTTTTCAGTGTTTATATAATCACAAGAGAATGTTCCAGAAGTGACCAGTAACAGCAGTGTACAGCAAAAGCTTCTCTGAAAACCGTATTTTGTGCAAAGCATCCCACTTGCTTTGTGAGAGTGATACAACTGGCAAAATGACCTGGCTCCTGTGTGAAGTGAGATCCTCTCCGTTAACTGGCAAAGACCAGGCTCCTTGTATATTCCGTGCTCTAATCAAAATCTCATTTTCCTCTAAGGAAAAAAGGATTCTGTCCATACTTTTATTATTATAGAGATTGATTAATTTGCAGATGGGATACTGTTAAGAAGGCATATGTGACATATGCAGTCAAAAAAAATGCACGTTCCAATAAAACTATGATGCAATCACTGTTTACACTATATACTCCTTTAGATCACACCACTAGAACATCCCAGTATTTACAGAATACTAAAAGATATGTAAAAATCGGGTTAAAAATTATAGTTGTTTCTCTATATAAGACATTACAGGTAGGAAAAGCAACTGGCTATGAGATCAGAGCAAAAATGGCTAGTGCTTTAACTGCATCCCAATGGCATATCTACTCAATAAAGAATTCTCAATCTATACAAGACACTCCCTACCACCCCTGGCAACTGGACAGTATTACTCTTTCTTGACTGATATGAGTTATCCCTAAAGGCTGTTGTCACACTTATTTTCTAAGCAGTGTAGTTACTGTCATAATCTGCTTTCAACAGTGTTAGAAAGAAAATAACAACACTAGTTGCTTTAAAAAATTAGAAAATTTACACAAAGATATCTTCACACTACATAGCTTCCAGCACTTAACCGTTCATCAAAAAACCCAAAAAGCTAATACATAGAATTTAGTTTCACAAAAAAAAGCAAATGCCTGCATTTACTGACTACTCTGGTATGTTGTTCCTTCTTCAATTCACAGGAGATTTCCTTCTGAGTTTTTCTTTGACCAGTCATACCCGTAAAGGTTTGCCACAGGTGCTGTACGTTCTAAACTCAATTTAAAGACTGGTTACTGATCAAACAACTCGACCTCTTCCTAAAGGAAGTATTTTCACAATAGTATCAAATGAAGATTTCTCTTCTGTGTTGTACGTTATTTTCATGAACAAGTTTTAGCAATTAGTGTTACGAGATTCATAACAGATAACATGTTCTTACACAGTGTGAAAATATCTTTGGTAACAAAAATGGGCCATGAGACATGACAGCTATTCAAAGTAATTAAATTTGTGATACGTTACCACTGTTCCATTATCTGGCATCATTGGTGTTCCCATATTTGCAGCTCCTTCTGGTCCCATGGAAGGACCAGGACCCATTGCAGGGCCAGGTAAAGTTCCTCTGTTGTTCATATTCATACCCATCATTGGAGGAGGGCCTTGGTTACCAGCAGGTGCTGGGCTAAACGCATCTATGCAAAACAATCTACACTTAGAGCTGTCCTATCTGAATTACAATAATAAACAAACAATTTACAATATTTTAAAAGCCAAATGTACAAGACTTCCAATACTTGAAAAAAAATATTCTTTGAGACTGTACATTTATCTCAATCATCTGCTTTTAAACAGATTTTCATTAATGCCTATTAATTTGTATTACATAATCTGCCTCATGTACTTGAAAATCCTGAACTAAATTTACAGCTAAATATAGCTGTACAGTTTCTGTGCAGGAATTGAAGTATTCATATAGCATATACATACACAACTCAGCAAAAATCTCAAGTGATTTTGCAGTAATTGGCAGCTATAAGGCGACCTGGGGATCATAACATTAAATTTACATTAGCAAGAACTGTTTCATCAGTATTATAATAACTGTACATAGTGTGACAGTATATTAGTCTAACATCTAAAAGCAATATCCAATACGGTACTCAACTTTACAATAAATTATTTGTAATATGGCATAAATCTTGCATTTAAATGTACTTTATGAAAATATCAGAAAACTAATGAAAGTTTTGCTAGAATTCAAACTGACAGAACAGTCTCCTCCAAAAATTCTGATTTACAGTAAGACATAGAATAAAAACTTAAAAACACCTTTTGAGGGCATCATTTAGCTATAATATTGCACTAGGACATGCCACTCTGCCGGTAATCACTAACATACTCAACAGGTAGGTAAAACTGCCTTTGCAACATTTTTTCACATTGTTATAAGAAAGAAAAATGTCTGGTTATGTGTATTATTTCTATATGCTCTTATGAAATATCAACTTTTAAGACTGGTGGTGATGCATTTTTTTCCTCTCAAAAAAAATAATCCACTCTTCAGCCAAAAGCGTGTACCCAAAATTTGGTAATGGAAGAAGCCACGCCTCTGCAGTCTAGTCTACGTTTTGAGACATGACCATACAGAAGAATATCAAGAAATCTGACATGTTACTAGACCAATAAATCTGTTATTTGTATTTCAGAAATCAACCTCTCACCTCTCATCACAACTGTAACTTCTTTGGTAATGACTAAGTGTATATCATTGTAAGCAGACCATTTGGCACAGATGCAGTACTAGGACTGTCTTCAGCTATGCAAAATGCATCTTCATTACCTGCCCTGAGTACACCTATCACAGCAGTTGGTGAAACCACTGTATCCAAGATACTACTGCTCTAAATTGCAGACCTGAGCTTGACCACATACATTATGCCAACTGCAAGCTGCTTAGCCAAAACAATCCATACAACATGTAAAGTTCTAAATAAGTTTATTAGAATGAACAGAGGGAAAAAAGGTAATCCTGAAAAGAACTTACTTGAGCTTAGTCATGAGAAACTCCCAAGACCTTGCCCTGTGATACTAAGCCAAATCAAAGGTATGTGCAAGTCAGATGCTCCTTACCCATTCACAAGCATGATCAGTTCATGTAGCAGGTAGATCATGCTATGGTTCAAGAGAATTACAGTTCAATATGCCTTAAAACTTTTTTTGTTTATTTTAGTGTCATGCATTTAGTGATTAAATAAGGAAGAAAAAGGAGAAGTCTAAACTGTCAATGTAAGGGGAAGTCTTTCGTTTCAGAAGTTACATGTACTCTGAAGTTGTAAGATGGCAGTGCTTAGTGCTGGTAGCAGTGCCATTAACTAAAAGTAGTCAATGCTCATTTACCTGCTATTGGCTTGCTTACCAGCCTAGCTAAACTTAGGCAGCTGGGCACACACAGACAGTGTTCACTCACCCTTCACCTGCAATGAAGTTCTTATCCTCTGTATCATAAGTGTACCCATATTGCTTCCAGGGTGGTGTATAGTGACCTAGCGTATCAAACCTCTACATTACCAAGCCAGTTGTGGGCAGAGTCGGTTCAGACAAGAGGACAACTAGGGAGGGTAATACAAGGAGGGAATGAGGCCCTGGGTAGTTCCAGCAAGAGGCCACTACGGCATTTTTAGCTATACCTCAGGAGTCCTCCTAGTTCCAAAAGCAGACCCTAAGAGCTAACCACCTGATTGCATGTTTTCTGGTGATGTTAGCAGTTATTTCATTTGACCTGATTCAGCAACAGATGGAAAGTAGGTATCATTGTCCATGCCACAACACACGGACACTAAGAAAAGGTCTTTTTCTGCAATCTGGGGGGCTGAAAATGTATACTTTTAAATGCTGAACCGCAGAGCGGGCAACAAGCCATAATAGATAATCCTCACCAATGTAGAGATAGTTTAAAAAAAATTTTTTTTCCATATTGAAGTTTATCAGCTGCTCTTAGCATTATAGATCCTGTTAAGTGCTATGATGAGGCATATAGATTATCTCAGAAGTTGTCTGCCACAGAAAATGTAAAAATAAGTGGTCCTGCACAAGTCAGCCCAAAACTAATTAAATCCATTGTAGAGGTGTCTTCTATTATCACACAGGTACTTCCATTACCAAAGATACTTCAGCTCCCCACCGTGCCACGTGATATAAAGTTGCAAAAGGTACAGTTAAAGATCAGTTAAAGAAGTCACAATTCCAACAGAAATGTTGAGAAAGGATGCAGAGATGAGCAATTAAAGGTCTACTATAGGATTTGGGGGTCAGGTTTTTTTGTTTGCAGTGGTAGTGTTGTTAATGGGCTGACAGAAAAAAAAACTCCACACTGAGCTAACCTAAAAGCTAGATAATGTGGAAACAGTGTCTTTACCTATTAGTTATGGATATTTTCATTTTTTAAAATAGTAGTTCACTGTTACTATAGTTTCTTCTAGAACTACACATTTCTAAAAGCATTTTTATCAAGTTTAAAGCTAAGTCATAGCACAAAGCTTATAACACATGACTATGATGAACTGCTACGTATTAAAACACGACAAGAAAAAGACTGAACTGATTGCTATAAATACACATTTAAAATCTGTACATAAAAAGTACATCTGGCAACTACTGGCACAGTATCAATATTTACAAAGTCCCCTAATTAAATTAAATTTTCAAGTAGGCTGCAGTAACATGCAAAACTGTTAAATAAAATTTTTTAAAAGTTGCGATTTATGCTTCAGCTTATTATTAGTAGGTAACTTTACAATTCCTTTTAAAGCTCTCTATCTTCACTGAAAGAAAAAGTCTATTTCTGTTTTGCAACTCTGTCTCAATAAATGCAAGGAAATAGTGGAAAACACTTTAAAATCTGAACCAAGCAGATTCATTAGTCTGTAAATTCACCTTACTCAAAAGGTCAAGTGACAACATTTACTGAGTTATATATACTTTCAAATAACTTTTCTTTATACTATCATCTTAATGTATTTTAAATGAACATCAGGAAGCTTCCAAGAGATATATATTGACAATTAATACAGTTCAGTAAGATGTGTTTTTATAAAGAACTATTTTACATTTCAGGCTTGTTTAAAAGCAGATATTCTGGATAAGTTAGATTCCAAATTGTTTCCTGTTTCAGTGTGCATATACAGAGCAAGCACTAATTATCAAGAACGTACCTTTCTAGACTTCACAGTAACAGTATTTTAAGTCATAAAAGTGAACTACAAATATTTGCAAATACAGACTTGCAATAAATGAGTAGAATACCAATCACATAATTCATTAACCTTTTGTCAGGTATGTCAAGAACTCCGCAATTCTAAGCCCAGTTTCATTTCAGGGCATGCAATTACAGTACTAATGTCCCCAAACAGGTAGTCCCTCCAAAAGAACGCCGAATACTTTCTGAACAAAAAATTCCTCTTTTGTATCAGATAAATTCTAGAACATTTCCCTTCCCTGCTGTTTTGTTTCTCTTAATTTGCATATTGTATTTTCCTCCCACAGGTAATCGAAACAAAAATCTACCTTGGGGTAAAAAATGCTGCTTGGAAGGAAAATACATAAGGGTGTGTTGTTTGTTTGGTTGGTTGGTTTTTGTTTTTTTGTTTTTTTTTTTTTTTTTTTTTTTTATTTATTTATTTATTTCCTAGTACTGTTTACTCCTTTTTTAGCAGTAGTCATCACTAATTAGTAATGCTTGAGTAACATGTACAGTCCCAAAGAAGAAGAAATTTTAAATTAAAGCCTTTTTCCTCAGATCCCTACCTCCCATGTTTATTGCTCCACGAGGACCCATATCACCCATTCTCATTTCCTGTTCTCTCTGAAAGTAAACATAGTTTTCATGGTCAACCTATCATTCTTAAAACATTCCCATTCACTCCATGAAAATACAAATTTTCACGTTTCAAAACTTTCCATTGATTACAAACACATACAAGGAATGAAGTTAACTATACTCATCTGGTTTTATAAAATGAAGTAAATTCAATATAGCAATGCTGTACATTTTTGCATAACAGTAATGGCTAAACATTCCAAGTTTCATTTATCAGATGCAGCAATCTAAAGCTGCCAAACAGTTCTGTGATCAACTGCAAATGAATCCATCTTCATACAGTATTTTTCATAAATAAGAGGTATATTTACATATCAACTGTAATTAAAGAGGTCTTATTATAGTAGCACCTAAAGGCTGTGGTTCAATAATGCAGTCCATCTGGCTTCATGACTCAAAAATGCTTGTGTTGATTAGAAACTGAGCTCTGATGTGTTCTGTTATGGTTACATAAACTCAATCTGTCAGTTCATCTTTTTTCAAATCGTTTTGACTTAACTTGCTGGTGGTACACTTTTTGATCTATTATATCAAGCTATTGATCTGTGATTTCAGATACCAACTATCCTTCTGAAACCAGCATAAAAATGTATCAACAAAAACCATGCAACACTCAGTTATACTAAGTAAACAAATCACATGCCAAATTGTCCAGATCCAATTGATGCTCAATCACCCAACAGTAAGAGCTGTGACATGATTAATCATGAACCACGTCCTCCTGTGAAACAATACTCAAAAGGTAGTACCCAGACTGGTAAAAATCATCGCTTAGGAAAAAAACAATAAATATCAAAGATAATTCCAAGGGATTTTACTATTGCTGTTCACATCAAAATAATGAAATAGAAACAAATTCATAATTCAAACTGAAAACTAATGACTTACACAAATTTTTGCCAATTTTGTGCAAGAATATGAAATATTCCACTCAAGTGAACACGTGCTAAGAGTAAGCATATGCAAAAAAATTACCCAGATCTGAAAACGATTGTACTTTAAGAGTGCACATTCGGATGTACTTTGGAAACAATTCCATATATGAAGCAACTGAAAGTCTTGAAAAGAGTAATATTTAAATGGAAATATTAATAAAATAAAAATATTTTCATACTATTTTTGTGGTTTCAAAAAGCTCCTTTTTGTTCAACAAGTTTGGGATGCCAAATTTGCAGCTCCTATCTCCACACAATTAAAGCAGCAGACACCAATATTTGACAGAACAGTCAGTAGTTTTGTAAAAACATCCTAGTATGGGAAATTGTCATAAGATCCATGCCAAAAGACTCTCAAGGCCAGTCACTTTGTTTCTAGTAACTCATATTAGTCTAGAAAACATACTTCTATACACTATTTTCAAAAGAAGATGCCTTAACATGGAGAGAAGAATTAAGACCTCATGACCAGAAGACACAGAGGCAAGTTTATGGTCCAGCTACAAAAGGCTGTTCATGAGCACTAAGAAGGACCTCTTCTCTCTCAGGAACCTGTTAATACTTTGTAACACAACACACAACTACCTTGTCAGATGTTTCACAGTAATGTCAACTGAAATGTTATGTAATATCAGCAGTCCTATTAGGATCAATTATACCCACAAACTGATAGTAATGTCAGTTAGTCACAAAATCAGCATATGACCTTGTTGATATTACTCTGCTTTTACATTTCTGCTCCAACATGAAGCAACAGAAGGAAAAGTGAAGTATCATCCCTAATCCAGCTCTTCCCTAGCCCAACATGGTAGAATAGCACCACAGCTACCAGTTACACCCCTCAGACTGTGCATGCACGCATGCAGGTCTATGTGCACGTGTCAACAGCAAGACATGCCACAAACAGCTCCAACATACTCTTTAGCTACAAGGGAAAGTACCAGATTTTGGATTGCTGCATGTAACTTACTTGCTGCATCTCAGGTTCAACTGCAAGCTGGTGGTTGCTTTTTTTTTAAATGTGTAGTGTGCCATATAGGGCAGGGCTGAGTACAATACAAGCTAGACAAGGATGTTAAGTAGGGAGGCGTAAAGATGTACCAGTTACTAGAACTTGTTTTCTCTCCAAAGGATAGAAGCCTTGGCAAGTTATAACACACTTTTTATTTAAAACCACACTGCAGTTCCTCCTAGCAATAAACCATTTTTTTCTTCAGCTTGAAATGCCACCAATCTTCAGTTAACAAGTACAAAAAAAAAAAAAGAGGGGCAGAACCCGTAATTATTCTCTTTTTAGTTTACTCAAGTGTTAATGTCATGTTACTGACAGCATGTATCATTAATATAATTAAATGCTTGACATATAAACTAGAAAAACACGTACTTGGATAATGTGCCAAAGCTTGTACTTGGAGGACTTCAGATGGTAATAAAAATCCAGCCCTATTCCATACAAATCATATCCTAGACAACCATTTACCATATGAGCACAAATAAATCATTCCAAGTAAGTTAACTATTCCATGGGTTTTGTCCAAAATATAACAGAGAAAGAACACCAATGAGCAGTTACAACAGAGTAGCTGAAGCAGTGCCGGTTGATATTTCAGCTGACCTGAAAGCTTCATTCTCAAATACTTAAGCCCTTTGCAGAATATAACAATGACAGTATTATCTTCTCAGAGCTTCTTCTCCTCACTATGCGACTGCTCATTCTTCTGCTGCATGGCAGCCTGTTCCAGCCCCTTCCCCAAAGCCACCCATAACTACCCATCAGAGGGAGTTAAAATTGAGCAGCAATTTTTTTTAAATTAAGCAGGCTGAAACTTTACTAGAGCAATATGTGGGGAGGCGATTAAGAACCTCTGAAGTCACACGGTACCTGGGAAAACAACTTAAACTGTAAGAGAACAAGAGAAGTGGATAATATGCAATTACAAGGCAAAAAGAAAGCTGTAAGACAAAATGTCTAGTAAAGTGTAATTAAATCTTCAGGAAGATTTAAAAACAAACAAACAAAAAAATCAACCAAAACCAAGGAAAACAAAGAAGAATATCCTAAAAAGGATAATTGTTTACACAACTTGAAAGCTTTTTAAATGACTTCTGTTGAAGGGTTCTTGCAAAATACTTCAGATTTGCAACAACAACCCTCAAGGAGGTCTGGTTCGTTTGAATATCTGCTTTTAGAAACTGCTACGATGGCAACTGTGACATTATACTTGCTAATTACTTCAGATGCAAGCATTAAATTTGAGATTTCCTCACAATTCCAACTCATTTTGTTAGTTCTAACAAGCAGATTTACACAAAAATGTTGAATACACCCGGTTTTCAAATCACATGTAGCGTAAATTTAAAATACTATGCACTCTTCCCTTTTTAAAAGTATTACAAACAATATTTCTTGAGCATCTGAAATCTATCATGTTCTTACACTTCAATCACCAGTGACAGCAGTAGTCTAAGTGGACAGAGAACTGCCAAGACGATCCTTCTGGGTTATTTAAATATATTAGGTTATTTTTAAGTCCACTCTATAAAACTATGGAAACTAACTGTTTTGATAAGACACCCAAGAACTGACAGGAGAATGTATCAAATGCAACTCCCTTCTCACACTGAAAATAATAAACAGTCATAAAACTGTGGGGTTTTAACTGACAAATCAATACTGTTTTTCCTGGAAACAGGTCTTGCAATTGCAGCACCCCAACAAAAATTAAAAATTTGTCTCCAAATGATGCAATATTCACGGTAACAAAACCGTCAGAAAAAATACAGTATGGAATAAATGCAGCATGGAATATTTTAGAACAGCAAAAAGCAAGATATCAACAGAAATATTAAGATGACAGATCATACAATCTTCTTCAAGTTTTTTTGGCCAGGAGATGCAATTCCCAATTAGCATAGGACTACTCACTCACCTTTCAGCTAACAAACAGTGACCAAAATAACACTAAGACACAGCAACCAAAATTGCTTTATCAAAGAAAGAACACTTACCACATAAACAGTTGAACTGAAATACATTCACAGTGCTGTTGATTCTCATGTGTTTTCATTAACATGGAAGGTGAATTCTAATCTCAGGCAGACTTTGTATCTTTGCAAACAGGTATGACATTTCTGTACCTCTTACTAGAATTTGTTACACCCTTCCAGAGTGGTTTATTTCATTACGTTCTTTGTAGAAAAGAAAAATTACTTCCAAAGGCCTCTCCAAGAGGCATAAGACACTTAAACCTTAGACAAAAGTGCAATTTCCTGAAAGACGCCTGTATTTTAAAGGTAGAAATCATACAGGTGGTTGAAGTTGCTAGTCTGGCAGTCAGAACTAGAATTTGGGGGATGCTTTTGATTACACATTGTCTTTTCCTCAGGGTATTTTACTTTTTCACTTCAGTGACTAGCAAACTGGAAGTTAAACTGCCAGCAAGGAGTTAAGACTGATGAAAGCTTTCTCTTCCATCCACCCCTATCATTACCTTTCCCTCTTTGGCTTATTCATCCATTAAGATGTGTGAGATCCTAAAGTTATAATACAGACAGATATAAATATGTATAGTATATATAAGGTATAGGAGATAATATACATAAATAGAGAATATACAAAATAGTTCATTTTATTCCATCACATGCAGTAATAGTAAATAATTAGAAGTGAAAAATACTGATCTTCCTTCAAAATCCAAGGTTTTTGCATGCTCCTGAGCACTGCAACCTAAATCCAGAGCCAATTCCTCCACTGTGCTGGATGTCATACCAGATAGCTCCAGAGATCTCTTCCAGCCTAAACTACTCAAGAATTCTACAAATTTCAGTGAATTTTCAAAACTGTGTCAGTTCCCATCAAGGAGTTTGAAAAAAATAAAAGTAAGCTCTCTTGCCTCACACAAAAGTATAGAGGCAAATACACTGAACTAGATAAAGTAAACGTAGCTACAAAACACATAGCATACAGGAAATTAGAAAGCCCTATTTTTCATTAGGAAGTCTAAAAAAAAGAATTTTCATTATGTTTAGTCGCTGTCAACAGGATCTGAT